TTTTTTTTTTAAATGTGGGTCAAATATGGCTCATGAAAGATGTGGCTTAGTTGAGGTTGAATTAAGGCTGATATCAGGAACCTGTTCTGGCCCGGCGTCGGGCCGGAGTAGGGCCGGATATGGTTATACAATGCGGCTCAGATCCGGGCCGAATGCGGCCCGGATCATGGATGCCAGACCCGGGCCACTGCAGGACCGTCATTCATTGCGGTATGTGGGCCGAGTGTCGTGCCGTGTCCGCGCCAGAGCTGGGCCAGACCAATTTTGCTGACTGGGTTGCTCCGGCCTTCCAGCGTGGAGTTTGCATGTTCTCCCAGTGTCTGCGTGTGTTTTCTCCGGTTTCCTCCCGCATTCCAAAAACATGCATGGCAGATTAATGGAACACTCGAAATTGTCCCTAGGTGTGAGTGTAAGCGCAGATGGTTGTGAGCCCAGTTAATGTCCCAAAATTTTCAGCTTTGTGTAGGTCAGGAGCCTACAAGGAATAGTCATATAAAGAAATTAATTCATAACAATTGCTGCATTGATAGATAACTGCACACTGACATTGGAGATGCTGTTGAAACTGATTTTGAAATGGCATTGCAATTGAAAATGTAATCTTTAGGCTTGAGTAAAACACATTGTCCACATTTAGCCAAATACAAATGTATCAATGTGTCAGAAAATATCTTTATTCGGCTCTTAAACAAGCAGGTTTTCAATTGGAGGAAAAGTCACATAGAAAGAACTAAAGTTGTCTTAACAATTTAACGCAATCATATTCACAATGAAGTGCAAGAGTTGAAGAAAAAAAAACTGATTCCAAAATGCCAAGAATCAAAATACAGATCTGAGCTAAGCTTGACCAATTGCAAAGACAAACACATATTGTTGATACAATCAAGCAGTCTATCACATTTTTGGCAAGGCTTTCTGTTGTTCAAAAGTCAAATTCCCACTCGTGTGAACGCACACATTACTTCAGGATGGTGACAAAGTCTGACAATCTCCGAATTCAGCATCAACGCAAAAACAGCCTGCAAAGGGAAACACAAACCTTCCAGTTCTTCAGTGCAAAAACATCTTATAGAACGATGCAAAAAAAAAAAAAAAAGTGTAAAATTAAATTAACATTAGTACTTTATATATTCTGGAAAGAAATGAAGAAAGTCATTTTAATGCTGTAACTAGGGTACATTTGACTTTCATGACAAATTGCTTGTTTTTGAATTTATGCTCTCATTTTGTCGTGACACAGTAGGTTGTTGAACTTGCCAGCCACATGAGGTACACGTGCAAAATCCAGTCAGAACCAATAAAAGAACTACTTCAACAATTCAACCTTGACAAAAAGGTCACCATGCTTGTCTTTCACACTGACCAAGATGGAGTATTCCTGTCACAAAACTTAAGGAGCCACTGTTAAGCGAAGCAATGCAAGCCGCCCAGTGTATTACGCCGCACTGTAGTACCAAAGTATTAGAACCAAATGAATGATGCAGTGCAGTTGCACACTTCAAACAACCACAAGACTCACAACATTCTCTCATAGCATTATCATATTTGTAGAGGCAGAATTTTTATTTTGCAGGGGTACCCATGTTGTGGCATTTTTGTTTACATTTTATCAGTCCAACATAAGGAAAACTATTTATCGTAAAAATAAAAAAAAAAACAGAAACTGCTCATTTAACTGGTCAAACGCCAGCCACGATTTCAGAGGGTGTGTCTGCCAAACAGAAATCATGAAAATCACTCGTGCAATGCATTCTAACAAAAAATGAAGCTTTCTGTACTTGGACCAACTCTCTGGCTGTGTTCACACTTTTAGTCCCGAATGCTGGTCCAGACCAAAGTTTAGGGGTGGGAGTGATTATGAAACCTGTTACGCACATTTGTACACAGGCCTTTCCCACACCTTGGACCAAAAGGGGGGGGGGGATCAGTTTGCTAGGCTGAATACATTTATTTTACATTTGGCTAATTTGACGAGCTGGGACATCACACACAAAAAAGCTTCCAAAACGTATTTCTACATAGCACCGCTGCAAGGGCAAGTGTGAACACAGCCTCAAGTTCAAAGGGCAACAATTCAACTTGTTGCAGGACTTCAGAGTGACAGTCTCAAAATGGAATGATGGTGGTCTGTTAAGGCCACTCCGTGTCTCGCAGATTCCAAATGTACAGTGACTGCGGTCGTAGCCTTTTCGCTCAACACCCAACAATCCCAGCAGGACGATCAATTTGACTGAAATTCACTGAAGAGTAGCACCTCGAGGACTAAGAACTCTTCATGTATTGGCTACACCTGGGTCTAAGCTAGTGGGGGGTTCGACTCCATGTCGATATCCTCCACCTTGTTCTCAGATGTCAGCTTCTCCCCAGTTTTCTGGGTAGTCCCATTTGCGTGCACATCTTTGTCCGGTACTTGAGTAAAATCAGTCCTTGGAATCTTTTCTTCCCTCTCCGATGACAGGCAAGGTGAGTGTTTTGAAGTCTTCGTGGGCGTTTGAGCAGGCGAGCTCATTTGGCCGGAGGCTGTGTCACCGCCAGTCTTTCCACCCGGCTGACCACCGCTCACGTCTGCAGCGGAGCCGTTGCGTCGCATTAACGAGTCGTCTTCTCTCTTCTTTTTCGGCGGCTTCTCTGTGTTCTCATCTCTATCCGTTATCATGACGATGTCCGCTTCCTGGATGTGATCCTGTGAGACGTTTGTAGCTTTGGACTTGATGTCCGCCCCCGGCTCGGTTTCGACGCTCGCAGTGTCAGGAGTGGGCGACTGATCCATTTCATCAATGTCATCAGCTGAGTCAGTGCTGTTGCCGAAACTGTTGTTATTGGACTCCGAATTGCCATTCCCAACTGTCATTTGCTCTGCTTTTGGGTGCGGCGACGTCTCAGGCTGTTTGACTTTGTCTCCATTTGTTTCCGTTTGTTTCTGCGCCTTGCCAGCATTATCCAGGTCCCCCTCTTTAAAGTGAACCCCTTTTTCTCCATCTTTACTTTTAGCCCTTGAGTGGTCGTCATCCTTACCTTCTCCATTGCCAATAGCTTCAGAGCGTTTCTCTGCCTTCCTGAATTGTTTCTGAATCTTTCTGGGACACCACACAAATTTATCCTTTGGCTCAAAGTGAAGGTAGGCAAAGCGCACTAGCTCTTGGCGCTTTTGTTTATCCAGAACCGCAAACAGAAAATAGTCTAGCACGCTGCGTTTAACACTGCTGAGGTTCTTCTTGACCAACGTCTCTTCGAGGAAGAAGTGCACCAGCGGAGCCTGATAGTGCTCGAAGCCCAGCTCTCCGAGGCTCTTCAGGATGCGTGTGATGCGCAGGTTGTTGTGCATGTTCCTAATGGAGAAGAGACAGTTGAAAGTGAAACGGCCAGCCTGAGAGTTCTTTTGAAGCTGGTTACCGACATGACAGTGTTAGAGGGTTTACCGCTCAAGGTTCCCAAAGCGCTCTTTCCAATTCTCTGCTCGTGTCACCTCACCAATCTCTTTGTTAATCAGGCGGATGCCATAGAAGCCCAGCATGAGTTCATAGGACTCCACTAGTCTCCTTTTGGCATCCTCGTTTCTCTTAAAGGCCTGGGGAGAAAAAAAACAAAAACAAAAAAAAAAAAAACAACAACTTGAGTAACACTTAAAGTGGCACAAAAGTGTCAACTACGAGACACTCACCTCAATCTCCTTCTTGGTGAGTTCAGAAGCCATGTAGTTGACCCCTGGTTCACGAAGAGGAAACAGCCTGATGAAAGCAGAAAGAAGATAGACACTTGTGCTCAACAATGATGAATGCATGCTTGAAGTCGCCACATGCTTTTTATATGAAAAACTATTTAAGTGTGCCCAATTCCTGTTTCTTACTAAATGGATTGGAAGAAAATCTAGACCAAAATTGCAGTTGTTACAGTAAGGTAAGCGACATCAAATAAGGCTGGTATCGGCACCAACACCTGGTATCATTACTCGCCCATCCCTACTAATTACCAATAAAAACAAAAATAAGCACATACCACTGAATGTATGAGTGGACTCTCTCCAGCCTTTTGTAGTCATTTTTCCATTCTTTGAGGAAGGATTCAATGTAGACCTCTGTCACGTCAGCAAATCACATGTCAGTGTCTCACAACTTTTCACCAGAACATTGTGGTTTAATGTAAGTACCATACCATCGGGTGCAGAGGGGAATTTATTGAGGTAGAATTGCAAGTTGTTCATTTTGTCTTCTGAGCACTCGTCATCTGCAAGATTCTGTGACAGAGGAACAGAATCGCACAACTTGAACCCAACACAAAGTCAAATGATGGGAGTGTGACTGTTCAGCACTTACAGGGTACCCTCTTCTGTAGTTCTGCATGTCCTTTGCTGCCCTCATGTTTCTGGGCGGGTGATGCCGCTGTGAAATTACATGGCAGTGAATAAACCTACATCAAACATTTAACCAACATTTTTAGAGATAAACAGAGCAAATGTATAATGGTCACTTTGTGATTGATTAGTGCACAAATCAATATTTACAATATTGTGTGTGGGTTTGGCAAAACAACTATAAGAAAGAAGAATTAAACAGCAAAACACAGTAGGATATCTGGAGCACATTTCACTCTTGGGGCCCAGCTCATAATATGGGATGATGATTTTCTTTGCAGTTTTTTTTTTTTTTTTTTTTTTTAAACACACATTACAACATAAGACCAAGCTAATGATGGTCAAACATCCCACCACCTCCAAAACGGCCAAATTTGAATTACAGCTATTGTATCAGACAAACAACTAACAAAGTACGACAAAATATTGAAAATCTGTTCAGAATAAATACGGGGATTACTGTTTGCGGGTTTAAGACAACTTTACAATGTTAAACACGCACAACCAGGAAAAGTTTGTTTGTCAATTTGTGGAGTAAACAGTGTGACTGAGGAATTGAAACGAAGTCCTAGCACAAGCCAGTTGATCAATTTAAAAGAACATTTGAAAACATGCTGCACAGATGGTGTGTGTGTGTGGGGGGTACAGTATATGCTGCACGGATTTTACTCACACTGGCCAGGACAAGATGTGAGGTGGACGACCTCTTTGGAGGCACAACTACGGCGATTTCCGCATTGATCAACTAGGCCAGGTTTTAAGGAGGACACACTTGTCCCAAGGTGTCCTCCTGCAGCGCTTAATCTTATTAAATGGACTCTCACACCAATTTAACTAACTTTGTATTGCAGCAACATTAGGTGTTAAATGTTGCCCACTGAACATCCATGGCATCCTGGAAATGGTATTTACCCATCTGTGGCTCTTTCTCAAGGTTTTTCACCAGATGGTTTTATTAGTTTTTCCGTGCTCTCCTATGGGGAATGTTGTTAATATTTGTCAACCGTGGGCTTGTGGAGCCTTTTGAGACTCTTCTGATTAAGGGCTATATAAATAAATTTGACTTCACTTGACATAATGTCAAATTGTGTATATAGGGAGGAAAAAAATGGGTATGTGAGATATATGTGAATAAAAAAAACATTTTATTCAGCTTGTATGCAGTCAACTTCCACTACCCGTAAGGAATGGGGACCCAGGCTACTGGTAAATTGTGAAAATCTGCAGATAATTGACAGACATTGAAATGCATTGGAGATGTTTTTTTTTCCAACAACCCCTCAAAAACGCATTGGGTTTCGCATTCAAACGCATTCAAATAATTTTGACAAACATTCAATATATTCCAAGTAGGAAAAAAAATGGGGATATAGGGTCAAGAAAAACCGGGGTGAAAAAAAAGAGTAAATTATCAAAGAAAAATAAATTTGTATTGACACCAGGTGTGTGTTTAGGTTTCAATGGAATACATAAAGAGACATTATGAATATGTACCGGGAGCCTATATATTTTGGATTGCACTTCTACATGCACAGTGTATTTGGTAAAAGCGGAGGGGTAGGCTAAAAATAATAATAAAAAAAGATTTAAACTACTTCCTACTTTTACGCTGTACCGGCATTAGGGTGTTTCAATAGGAGACTTTTTTATTGTAGCATTTGGGGGGTGGGGGGTCATAATGGGGGGGGGTCAAAATTCTCCACTTAATTTTCGAGTCACGGCTGTTACGCATGACGTTTTTTTTCGTTTACAGCATAGCCATGTCGAACAAATGTCGCCACATGCATCTAAAAAAGAAAAAACGCTCACCGACCCAAGGGAGCAGAAAAAGTAAGCTAGCCTCAGTGGCCAGCTAGCCTAGCTATCAAGCTAGCAGCTAATATTTGCGCTGAACCAAACGCAGCAACAGCAACGTCTCGCCAAATCACCAGAATTAATCCAACGGTCTCACAACGACAAGTAAACCAAGCTTCAAGTTTAGGCAAGCACTTACCGACACTAAAGTCCGCGACCGTCGAGGTTGACCATCTCCGGCCGGCTCCTCTCCATCACTCTCGGTGTCCCACGTCGAGTCGTACTCGCACACACAATCGTCCTCCATAATTCCCAAAACGACAAAAGCCTCCTAAAGCTAGCCGAGCTTGCTTTCCGACAGAAATGCGCATGGACCCAACTACACCGACACGTTCACTCAGGTTAGCCGAGGACAGCTGAGGGCAGCCTCTCTTCGCAGGCCACCATCGTCTCTCACTCTCTCTTTCCCTCGAAGGGGCGATGATGACGCCTGCCCTCAGGTGCTCCAGTGGGCGTTTTTATCGTCACAGCGCCCACTCACAAGATTAATTCACCGTTTGCCATTTAAATGTTCTCCCGTGAATTTAATCCTTATTAAGGTTGGGGGGGGGGGGCGAGGGAGAAGGAAGAAAAGTGTGTTTATCTCGATGTGGTGGACATACATTGTTTGTGCGTAACATTTCAAAGATGAATCTTTTGACATGAAACCAGCATTATCAGATTCCAGTGATTTATCATTTTCCTGTGACAAATGAAATACTTTAAAAGCAGTGACAATGCACCAATCGCTGGCCAACGTCTTAATGTAAAGTCACTGGGGATCCAGATTTTTTTTTAGAATCCGACTGTCAAACTTTCAGAACTTTCTTAATCTGCATCCTGTGTTCATCATTGAAATCTTGCTCAACAACAACAATGTTGGTCACGAAAAATCTATCTGCCTGTATGCTACTGTCAGTGGTTCTCAAACTTTACATCAAGTACCACTTCAAGACCACGTGCCAAAATGACAACAGTAAATTACAGCCGCTCGTAGGCCCAAGTGTTCATCAAAGATTATGCACAGTTACAACATTAACGTTCAAAATATAAGATGTACTTCAATTAAGATTCAACCGAATGTAAATACAGTACATGTATGAAAACAAACAGTTTTAATAGATTGAATGCAAATGTAATGCACTTAAAAGTTAAGTACAACTGAATTTAACAAACTCACAATTTGAACATTGTATTCTGCAGGGTTTTTTATTTTATTTTTTGCATACGGAAGGGGTCACCAACGTGGTGCCCGGGGATACCAGGTAATCCTAAGGGCCTGTTCTAAAAATAGCTCACTGTGAGTTTCTAGAAATGTTGTAGAAGTGATTATTTGAAAATATGAACACTGGTCGCGATTTAATGAAATAAAGTGTTGCGAGTTAATACTTCTCAGTTTCCTGATTGTTGCGAGCAATCACTACCATTATCAGTGGGTTCACGTAAATTAATATAATGATTTTTAACAATAGCTATAGCAATAACAGTATAAAGGTAATTTGAGAAAATTGTTATTTCAGAGTTGTGAGGTCTTTGTCAAGAATATAATGCAAGACCTCTAGACGAAAGGCAGATGTTCTGCCCCTGTGATTATGTTCACACAATACCTCATGCTATTTATTTCTGTAAAATACATTACAGTTTAAGTAGCCCTGAGTTTCATCATTCTAATCCAGAGCGTTAATGTAGTAGCTTCATTTCCCCCTGACAATGCCAAATAAAAAAAGTCTTCTTGTAAATTGTTACATAACCATGCTAATCGGTGGACAGACCAAAAATTGAATTAGAATTGGAAATACATTTCGTTTCATAATCATCCATTATAAAACCCACTGAAGTGAGAAAACTATACAAAGTCCGAGCAAAGAGCAATTATGAGCACAACTAAACTGAAATCGTCTCATGCTAAGAGCAAAGAAAGCACAATTGTTGCACTGGTATCACATTGGTCACTGGTGCTAAAATTAGCATGAAACAAAAAATAAAGTATTAAAAATTATGGTAAAAGGTCTTGGCGGCACGGTAATAGACTGGTTAGCACATCCGCCTCACAGTGTAGAGGTGCAGGGTTCGATTCCGGTTCTGGCCTTACTGTGTGGAGTTTGTATGTTCTCCCCATGTCTGCGTGGGTTTTCTCCGGCGACTCCGTTTTTCAAAAACATTCACGGCAGGTTGATAAAGCACTCCATGTTGTCCCTAAGTGTGAATGTGAGCGCGAATGCTTGTTAGTCTATGTATGCCCTGCGATTGGCTGGCAACCAGTTCAGGGTGTACCCTGCCTACTGCCCGAAGATAGATGGGTTAGGTTCCACCACGCCTGCGACCCTCGTGAGGATAAGCAGATTAGAAAATGGATGCATCGATGGATGGATGGATGGTAAAGAAATCTGCTCTGGGGGCGGCACAGTAGTCAATGGGTGAGCACGTCGGCCTCACAGTGCAGAGGTGTAGGGTTCAATTCCGGCTGGGGCCTCCCACATTCCCAAAAACATGCATGCCAGATTAATGGAACACTCCAAATTTTCCCAAGGTGTAATTGTGAGCGCGAATGGATTGTTTGTCTATGTGTGCCCTGCGATTAGCTGGCAACCAGTTCAGGGTGTAACCTGCCTACTGCCCGAAGACAACTGGGATAGGCTCCAGCCTGCCCCCCGACCCTTGTGAGGAAAAAGCGGATTAGAAAATGGAAGGATGGATGGTCTGCTCTGTATTTCCTTGATGTATGCATGCATTCACCAAGGTACAAAAGGCACAGATTAAATGGTTTGAACAAACGATGGACCCTTGCTGTCCAGAGCTCGACAGGAACTGGTAGGATGCATTTAAACAATCTAGAATTATAAATAGAATCACGTATCATGACAGGAGATTCAGTGTTGGCGGCCATCGGTGAGAGTTTCTATTTTTAGTCTGAGTTGCTGTGGAAACTGAAGGGCTCGGCATTCAGGGTAACTATTTAGTGTTGCTGCTTTATCACTTGTGCTGTTTACTCGTTTGTTCATATGCAGTAAGATGAAACAGGTTACAGAGAGTCCAGTTGGATTGTGCTGATTGGAGTTTAGTGACAAATGTTGACATTTTACTGTCTGAGAGTCCTTCCTGTTATGAATGCTGACTGAAGCCAAATGGTTGGCAGGTAGGGACATTTTGACCATCGTAGTAGTGGGGGGGGGCAGGGGGGGTTACTCACAAGGCTCATTACATGACTCCTGGGGCCTGGCCCCCCTGGTCAACCGGGCACCACCCACCCCAGCCCCCATCTTCATCTTCCTTCCTTGGGCCTCGACCATCCTCATTTCTAGTTGTTGTGGGTCACTGGCTATCACTTGAGCTTCCAGGTGGTGTCTTGCCCCCACATCGGGGCCCCCTTTCTCCCATGGGGACGTGCAGTGGGTGGGGGTTGGTTTTGGGGCTGACTATAGTTGGTCCTGTGTTCCCTTCTCAGGGAATGGTCAGGACACCTTGGGTGGGGCTGGTGGATTGCTTGGGTCCCTGGGCTAGTGTGGCATTCTGTTGACCGGTTCTCGTCACAGTGGCTGTCCAGGCCCATGCTTCCAAATTCAAATGATACAGAAATCAAACCCCCACTCCACACACAACACACATGGACACACTCTGTACATAATCCCGTCTATAGAAGACTTCATAAATCAAAGTACTAAATGCTACAACCCAAAAAATTCAACCCCAAGTTAGCAGGGAAAAAACATGATGATCGCAGCAAAACAAAGTCCGGAGTCTACAGAAACAATTTATTTTATCGATTGAAATAAAGGTGCAACCACACAGGTTGGGAATCATTCATCATGCAGCAAAATAATTCCCCGAAAAAACACACGGTGAAAACAGCAATGGAGTTGATCAGCGGCAATAGAAATTTTTAGATCGGCCAAGCTAATCTTCAACGCTGGAGAGCAAGCGTTTCACCCGCTGAAGAGATTCGAGAGTGTCCACCCCAAGAAAACCTGAAAGAGGCTGTGGGGAAAGCATCACAAAGGAAGAATGCCAAGGTTTGGTGATGCAATCGGCTCGCAGGCTTGGATGCACGTTACATGACACCAAGCATTTGCAACAGAAATCTTTTTCACTTTTATATGTTCTTAAATGACCTTGGTCAAAGAAATGTTGCCATTTTTTTGATCAGAGATGCAAGTAAACTTGTCTAGATTTTTATTTTCTACTGACACCCAATCTACCTGCATTTTTTCCTCGAGCTCCTCTGGTTTTCAAAATAATAACAAAAGTAATATATCATGAATTTAATATGCGATATACTAATACAGTGACATTTATGAATTAAGGGTTAGGTTCAGCAACAGGTGTATTTTTTTCTGAAACGTCGCACCTATAAATTACAACAGATGGTAACATTTTATAGGTCAAACTTAAAAAAAAGCAGATTAAAAATATCTCAAAAACCTGATGTCCTAGAAAAAAAGCCAAGGCACTACTGAAATCAGCGTCAAAAATAATTTCGGGACACACAAAGCCATCTCTTATGGTATCTCTTAGAGGCTAGATTGGACTGTGTAGGTGTAGTTCATTTGGAGTATGCCCTATCCACCTCTGGGGTCAGACACGAACAGGGAATAGTACAGGTGCGTGGATACAAGTATGTGGTGTGTGTGTGTGTGTGTGTGTGTGTGTGTGTGTGTGTGTGTGTGTGTGTGTGTGTGTGTGTGTGTGTGTTTTGTGGTTCAGAGACAATTAATTACTGCAGCACTGAACACATCAGATAATGGTGGCGTAGCATTTCAGACGGCCCAATTAACTGCAGTGCAACAGGTAGTGAACAGTTACCCAAAATACATTGCGCTCTTCACATATGAGGGAAATATAATGACGTAACTCTAGCTGTTACTATAGAGACACCAAATATATAACAACAATCAACATCCACATTTGGAACCTTTCTAACATTTACAATGCTTTTTTGTTCACCCCCCCCCCCACCACCGCCCTCCAAAAAAGCCAATCTTTTGTTGCAAGTAAGTACTCAATATATGTTATGTCAGAACAGGAAATAAAATCTGATCTCCTCTCAGATCAAACCCAAACATTTATACTGCTAAAATACAGGAATTGGCTTCTCTCTTCCAATACCTTTGGACGAGAGTGTAATGCCTAGAAGTGTGTAATATTGTCGTTTTGTTTTGAATGAGAGCAAAAAAGTAAAATGACGTTTGCAGCCTCAAACTCACTGCACCCGCGCTTACTTTTGACACAAGTAACCATGGAAACCAATATCCGAAAGAATAGATCTCTACAGAAGCAACGAATGGAGCGTTGCATGTGTTTATGCTTTCATTTCTCGAATGCACATCCACAGCGAGACGGAGTGTGCCGTGTTCGTGAGTATACCTGAAAATGTGTTACATTTTATGACGGCATTACAAAGCAAACCTTTCTTTGTTTGCATTAGTCGCACGTACGGTTCGTGTTCTTCGCAAAATGTGTCAATT